GTGAACACTGCACTGTAATCATTAGTGCTTTGTTCAGAGTGCCCAGACACTAAAGACTTTAAGGACCAGGGTTGCTGATTCAGCAGCGCTCACCTCTGAGGTTGATCTCTTAGCCCAGCCTGAAGCTGTATGGGCAGAGCCTATGTGGTAGGCGCATGACCTTCTGCTGCCCATGCTGTACCGGCTGGCTGTGTCTAGACTGGCCAGTTTTTCCGGAAAATCAGCTGCTTTTCCGGAAAAACTTGCCATCTGTCTACACTGGCCGCTTGAATTTCCGCAAAAGCACTGACTTTCTACTGTAAGAAATCAGTGCTTTTTGCGGAAATACTATGCTGCTCCCTTTCGGGCAAAAGGGCCAGTGTAGACAGCTGAGATTTGTTTTGCGCAAAAAACCCCCATCGCAAAAGTGGCGATTGGGGCTTTTTTTGCACAAAAGCGCGTCTACATTGACCATGGACGCTTTTCCGCAAAAAGTGCTTTTGCAGAAAAGCGTCCGTGACGATCTAGATTCTCTTTTCCGAAAATGCTTTTAATGGAAAACTTTTCCGTTAAAAGCATTTCCGGAAAATCATGCCAGTCTAGACGTAGCCGCTCTGTGTAGAAAGAGGATTTCAGTCTCCAGGGCTGCCAGGCTAGCACCTCACAACAGCATTAGCAAGTAGCTTCTTTGGATATTTTTAAGCAGTTAAGAAATCAAACCCTCCGGACGTTTCTGTGCTGAGGATTCCTTGTGTGGTGATTAAAGTGGCCCTTCATGGAAGCTGACTTCAGCGCAGGCTTTCAGAGAGGCAGAGAGCTGCTCATTTGTCCTCTCCTTGTTTGTGTTCCATCTGGATGGGCTCCAAAATGGAGGGAGGGGAGAGAAGGCGCTAATGCATTTCTAATAGGTTTCTGGACTCCTCTGGCTTTACGCAGGGAAAGATTCCACAGTGACCTAACTTTCAATTATCCAGCTCAATTAAAAAAAGAAACCAAGAGCAGCTTCTGTTAGCGGCCAAACTAAACTATAATTAGAATGTAATAATGAAGGGGAACGTGGTAAGGCTCCGAAGATGATTGCATGAAGGGACACTGGTGCACAGTGCAAGCTTAGGACTCAATAATTTAGCGAGGCGGGCATAATTCTAGTCAACCAGATCCAGTGGGGCTAAAGGTAGGGATCCAGCCACACTCACTGGTTTGACAGACACCAAATACATAATTTCCATCATCAGCAGCACTCCCACTGTAAAAATTGTTCCAGGGTCCTTGCCTAGATCTCTCCATCTCAAGAGTGCTTTCCTTTAAAGGCTGATCTAACAGGATGAAAGCCTTTGATATTAGGGCCAGGTTTCCCCCAAACACTGTAGCCAGGAAGATTAGAGGAAACACAGGAACAACTCCCTGACCAGCCTCTGTTGTCAGGTCAAAGGCTAGCCAGGGCCAGGATTACAATTAAAGCAACTCTCTCTTCCCCTATACAATCAGAGTGCCTCACATTCCCTATTTCCATAATGCAGGATTATCATCTGAGGATCATCCTGCTAACTAAGTCAGGAGAGGTGACTTGTCAGAACAAGTGAGCCAGGAGATCCAGTGCTCCCTGCTGAGACAAGCAGCCTAATATGGAAAGGCATCTTTATTTGTTCTGGGCTGCGGCTGAGACACCCTGTGAAATGTTTGCTCAGGAACATCACTTCACTCTCCCACACGCACGCATACTGTACATGATGCAGCAATTACACTGTGGGGCTTCTTGTTGGAGGTGGTTAAACATAACACGAGCGGCAAAGCAACAACAGGAACCCGGGTGAGAGTAGGAAAATTGGTTCCATGAAGGGAAAGTACTCCTACTACACCTAATCCATGTATATTTCATACCTCTGAGCCCTGACTCTGACTCTTCTTTCCAAAATTAGATTTATGTGAATGCCAGCACTTGGCACAGGTCGGTGCTCACATTAGCACCCCTGCTTTGCCACTGATTGGAAATAGGTCATGGCCAGAAATTTGGAATGTTTAGAGCTGGCACTGGTTGACTTTAGGAGTGGTCAAGCTAACGCTACTTCCATCCACACACACAGAAAGGAAAAACAAGCGCCCCTACAACACACTGGGAAAGACTGAACAGAGCAGCTCCGCTAACTGAAGCACTAAGAACCACGTAACATGCCCCTAAGAAGTCTTTGTGCACCATAATGCAGGAGTGCAACCCCAGAATGGATGCAAGACATTTCCGCCTAGCACTTTGTGCACTTGAATGAATTTCGAACAGCTGTTCTGAAAATGGAATTTTCATCCCATGGAAATGTTGACAATTCAAAACCCTTTCCCATTTCCAAAGCAGCACAGGAAGTCAAAGGATCAGTGTCAAATTGGCAATATATAAAAAAAAAAACACCTTTCAAAATATTTTCAGTCAAAACAAAGCGAGGCAACACATCAAAACATTATACACTTCTAAACAAAAAGGTTTTGTTCCAAAAGATCATTTTGGAAGCGACATTTTGAAATGACTCAGTTCATTGTGACCCGTCCTACTGGAAAACTGAAAAAAAGATACAAATTGACATGTTTTTGCAATAGGAAATTTCAGTATTAACACAGCTCCATTTTTCACCATTACCTTTTTTCCGCTAAATATTTCAACCAGCTCTAGCCTCATGTGAGATCTAGGAGCACACCCTGCTAGTGCCCAGTTCCCAATTCTTTGTTCTAAACACCAATCCACTTCCCTCCAACACTGAATAAATCCCAGAATATTTTGCAGCCCTGCCTCCTGGATGAGGAGAGGCTGACACTAGTAAAGTTACTGCTGGGGTGTGGGTAAAGCAAGTGGGAGTAAGACAAGTGGCCACTGGATTTCTCTGCTCTGCTCTTCTCCTCTCCACCCTGTAATAATTGTAATCGGGCTGGCCCTGGACTTTTTCCAAAGCACTCTGAATGGTGAATGCTCTCTCACAGGGAATGTGACATCACTGCCCTGAGTATCAACCATCTGCAAGCTTCCTAGAGTGCAGCTCCGTTTCCTTCTCTGCTGCTGCAGATTGGGGATGTTGTTACATTAAGCAACTAAGAGGAAAACATGGTTCAAACTGGTAGCTTTCCTGGTTTAGTTACCCAAGTTGTGTAGTAGTTACACAGTAGGAAGCTGGGCTTTTGTGCACATGCGGAACCAAGACTGCTGGGGGGTGCAGTCAAAGTCTAGCTTCTGCTCTGCCACTGACTCATCGTGTAATCTTGGGCAAGTTACTTCATCTCTCTGTGGATATATTTCTTCACTGGGAAAATAAATGTGGTAATACTAACTCAGAGAGGAGTTGGGATGCATAATTACAATTATTAGCATTTGCAAAGTGCTTTGGGATCCTCGGACAAAGACCTTACAGAAAGTCATTACTGAGCATAAGCAGGTGAGGGAACGCAACTCGGCTACCTGTTCTAATTAGCAGACCCATGCATTCATGTACTTTGCAAGGCAGATTATTTGCAGCTATATAGAGAAGGTGGGGTAAGCTGGGGAAGAAGGGAAGGGGTTGTTCAACTGGTGCAGCAGGAGCAGCAAAAACCATTCAGCCCATGCCACAGGGCAAGTGTGAAGAGAATGCTCTCCTGTGAGTGAGAGAGACAGACAGACAGGCACCAATGGTTGATAGCACTCGTGTGCATATGAAAGAGAAAAGGTACATAGGCTTTTAAGCCTTTGTCCCACTCCTGCTAATCATGTGCCTTCCACCTGGAAGGACATGGTGGCTGCTCTCTTAGGCTATGTATACACAGCAGTGTTATTTCGGAATAACGTCAGTTATTCTGAAATAACATCATCCGTGTCTAAACTGCAAGCAGTTATTTTGACATAATGTTGAAATAATGGCGAGCTAGAGCACTTCTTACTCCGACTCCTGTAACCCTTATTTTATGAGGAGTAAGGGAAGTCGGAAGAGGAGTGCTCTTCCTTGGACTTCCTGCTGTGTAGACAGAACCAAAAGCCAAAATAAGCTATTTCTACTTAAGCTATGCAACTGATGTAGCTCAAATTGCGTAGCTTATTTTGGCTTTAGCCCTGCTGTGGAGATGTGCCCTCTGGGATTGTAGATAGGATTAAGGAGACTGTGTGCAGGACCAACCTGGAGCTTTGCAGGTTGCCAAGCTCCCATAGGACCCTTGAACAAGAAGGGGCTTTATCACCATCTGGGAGGGAGTCTGATAGCAGTTTCGTCCTCCCCTTGCAGCAGTGCACTGGACCATTCATGATTTTGTTGCAGCATTTGCACTGGCCCACTACCCCCTCCAAGTGCACAGCCCCAAATGGACACTTGCCTCATTTGCATCTGAGGTTGGCCATGTCTGTGTAATCATCAAGGGTACATCTAGACTACATGGCTCCGTCGATGGAGCCATGTAGATTTGTATGTTCGGCAAAGGGAAATGAAGCCGCGATTTAAATAATCGTGGCTTCATTTAAATTTAAATGGCTGCCCCGCTCTGCCAATCAGCTGTTTGTCGGCAGATCGGGACAGTCTGGACGCTCCCCTGTCGACATGAAAGCCCTTTATTGACCTCCCCAGTAAACCTCATCCTATGAGGCATAACGGGGAGGTCGATAAAGGGCTTTCAGGTCTGCGCGGGAGCGTCCAGACTAGAGCGCTGAGCCGACAAACAGCTGATCAGCTGTTTGTCGGCTCAGCGCGGCAGGCCTTTTAAATTACTGGCTCCATCGACGGAGCCATGTAGTTTAGACACACCCCTAGATGTATCCATATCAAATTCAGAAACTGAGTGTTTCTTTCTCTAGTGGCCAGTTCCACCAAAGAGAAAGCCAGCTCATTAGTCACACCTAATAGTTACTCTTTTTGCTCAAGTGTTAACTGTTATGTTGGGTTTGATCCTTGCTGATGGCAGATCGTGCACTTGCTCTTTTCAGATTTTTCCCTCTCACCCTGTTTTAGGGTCTCCATTGTCCCTCTTTGTGAAGTCTGGAGGACCCAGGGCTAAAAACCTAGCAAGGAGGTTCACAAACATACAAAGCCTACTTTCAAAAAATGAGCTTTGAGAGCAGATTTTAAAAAAGAGTTGGTGGCACTGGGATTCTGGGACCCTGATTATTCCAGCATGTTTCATGTCCTAATTACATCCCTGCAAAGATTACACGAGGGTGAAGGTGAGAGGATAAAACTAGGGCATCTACGTGTGTTTGGATAAGTATCTTTTAGGTGACAGATGAGCAGATTGAGTGTCAAAGGCTGCACAGCCTTTGTGCTGGGGACCGTTTCAGTTACACCTCACACCCAGTATTCATGATTCCTAGAATGGGAGCATTACAAAACCTCCATTCCTAGAATGGGAACATTACAAAATCAATGGGAGTTGACAAAAACCTCAGCAAATTAAAGTGCTTTTGGCTTCAATGAATTTAGAATCTCTTAACTAAAATTGACGACGTAGGAAATTATAGGGATATGAGAAAAGAAGGTCCTTAACAGTCCATCTCAGTCGTCTCCCTTATGTCAGAAAAGCGTAAAACAATGAAAGAGGTAATCTGTGTAATGTGCAAGGAAAATCTCCTTCATGCTCCTGATCTGAATTTCTGAACAATTTCAATAAGGAATGGACCCCAAAGATTCCAAGTTGGGCTTCATGCATCCTGAAACGGGCCCTCTAAGAAAAGTTTAGTCAATTCTATTTAGGTCTTCAGCCAGACTGAAATTATTGAATAAAGCTTCTTTTTTCTTAAAGCCAAGTCTTGTTGTATTAATTCAGGGTTCTCACTTGACTTCAACAAAAGATGTCACTGTTTTCATTTTGAATTTATTACACTTTTGGGGAGAATAGTTAACAGTCCATAACAATGACCCCAACCATTATATTTAACCCAGTGTCCCCCACAGAACAGGTTGGGGCGAGCACTTCATAAGGCTACAACATATATGAATAGTTTTCTCACTTCACATGGGGAACTGGCATCCTGAGCAATTTCCATCATACAGAAAATCAATGCATCCCAAAGGAGGAAGATGTCATGTACTAAGAAATGTTTGTTTCTTTCCACAGCATGGCCAATGTGCAGCACACTGCCAGGGAAAGTAAACAGTCATGTCCTTTATGACCATGGTGACTGAATGGAGAATCACTGGCCCATACTTCTGCCTCTATTTTTAAATGGACAGGTTTGATTAGTTGAGAAAAGACATCCAAAGCTGCTCTTCCCCCTATTCTCTCATCACCCTCGTCCCGGAGGAGGTAGATGTAAGTTCCTCATATGCATCTGGTTTACAGAGCTGTTGAATTCACTTCTAAGGCTGTCTCTCTCTCATGTTGGTGTTTCTTGAGTCTTCTTGACATCAAAATCCCAATGAGTGCAGAACCTGCCAGGACTCCAGCTACTGCTGCCAAAATCACAGCCCAGTAAGGTACTGATGGGTCATCTGTCCCTGCTACAGGAGCTGTATTTTGCAATCCACTGTTTCGGGATGTGAAAAGAAAAGGATTCTCCTATAAAGGAAGGAGAGAATCTTCTTAGCCACAGAACACCTCTGAGCACCATTCAGTCGATATGTCACATACTCCTATTGAAATGGGATGGTCCTTATTTCTTTAGCAATAGAGTGGACCATTTCTCCACTCTGACTTATCTGAAAGTTCCCCTACCCCCAACAGATTTATAAATTGTGATTTTATCCCCTCATCCCCACCCCTCTGAGTGTTCCTTTTTACACATTTCAGATCATTGCAGCTTTGGCATTGTTTCTGAACCCATCCACTGCAGATCACCAAGTGCAAAAAATAAAACTGGTTGAAATGAGAAGGTCTCATTGGGGGAAATGTTGCATTTTTTCACTAACTCCCCATAAGCAGACTTTCCTGAAAACCTGTTTTTGGTCACAAAACCAGAGGTTTGTGTGCTATTTAAAACCCACAGAAGATGCACTCTTTCATATGCTTGAATTATATTGCTGGCAAGAATGAATGGGAAAACAAAAGGGGCCCCATGGGTGTGGATATAGTTGTGGTGTTTGCTTACTGAGGTTGGACACTTGAGTTTCAATCTGTTATGGGTGAAGTTATTGTAGCTCTGCTTTTGACCAACTGGCTCCAGCTGAAAGAGAGAAAAGGGACAGCAAATCTAAGAGTGATGTTTTCCTCCAAAACTCTCCTGATTTGCGTGGGTTACACTGATCTATCTGATCACACACTCCTTTGCACTGCAAGGGGTCCTGGGAGAGGATGCATCCTAGGACAATTTTTCAGCCATTGTACATGTCCAGGACCAAAAGAATTGAGAACTCTTGTCCTCTCCATGGGACTAAATATCACAGGATTTGAAAACCATCACAATCCTCACGACCTTCTCTCCAAGGTGAAGGCATGCTTCTTTGACATTGCCTTCTCTGTCATAAACACAGAGTGCTCAACTGAAACAAAACACTTCACTGCACACACGATTTTCCCTGTACACAGAGGATGAGAGTGAATGAATCATAGATGGCAGGTGTTAGTTACCTCATTGAATACACTATGGAAGGTGTTCAGATTCCAAGGTGATAGTGGTGGTATAGAATAGATCAATCTCTGCAGTCCTCAGTCAGAAAAGGATTTTACTGGCAATTTTGTCAAATAAATGACTGCAGGTTTTGGTCCATAAAGAGAGGCAGAACTTTCTATTGCAGCAGTTTTTGGAGAGAATAAAAACCAGTGCAGGATGAGTGTGCCACTTCCTTTAACCATCTATGACTGCATCTACCAACCTCAAGTGATGGAGGGAAGGAAGAATGGGCCAGCCAAAGATGAGACCAGGAAAGGAACTGCAGTAATAAGATTCACTGATGTTAATACTAGGAGTGCTTCTTGGCTGTGTGGTCTTGTGAAACAGCAAACATAGAAATCAAAGGCAATATGAGAGGTGAAGCAAGGAACATGTGAGGTGCAAGAGAATGGTGCTTTAAGTGTTAACAGTAAGAACAACAGAGGAGAAAACTATGTGGGGGAAAAAACCCTGCAGAGAGAATGTGAAGTGAACCAATGAATTCAAAGATTTGCTGACTGTCATGGAATTCTGCTGCTGGATAAAGGTCAGCATCACACATGAGTCAAAACCCTCTGGCTGGCCTACTGGTGCATGCTTTGGAGTGAGCATAAGTTATTTTTGCTGCATCTTAAAGGAGGGCAGCAAGTGTCCTGAGGAGAATTCCCTGTAACCTACATGATCTGAGTTCTGTCTATGGTCTGCTGGCTATCTGTACTCCTGGTTCTTGCTGTGTCAGGGTGGGAAGAAATCTGGCACGGGGTCACACATAAGGGCTGATCACATGTGGGTATCTGCAGCAAACATATTCATATCCCACTTGTAATTTGGTGTAATGCAAGCTCCAGCCTGCTAATTTGGGGCCGGATTGCATCCCCACGACCCAGCCTGTGTTACAGGTCTGCTCTGGGCAGGAGAGGCACTATCCCCACTGAGTTCCTCAGTACGCCGGGAGACTGCACATGCTGAATTAACCCTCTGGATAATAGCCTGATCTCTGCCATGCTGCTGGCCATCTCAGTGTGCTGGTGGAAGTGGAGGGAGCAAGATATGGCTCCTATTTCTCCCTGCAAAGTAGGAGCAGTCTCCTGTTCATTTCTCCTAGAACCACAGGGACTGGGTCTGTGATTAGTTCTAGCACAGAGAACTTAAGGAGGGGAGGGGTTTCTTGAGCCTGCTGGGCCTGCCCCATCCCTGCATACCCACACTGACAGCTAGACACACCATCCCTTTATGTGTACTGAGGAGAACTCCTCTCATCTGGCCAGCAGCCTGCAGTGTGCTGGGCTCGCTCAGGGAGCAGGACTGGGCTGCTGAGTAAAGCAGAACAGAAAAACAATACATTCTTACAAGAATCACACACAGCCTCTCAGTACACAGTGAGCTGGTATGGGGTGGGGGTGGTTTACAAGAACAACCACTAGTGTTAAACAACAAAGGGCAAACCCTCAACTGACATAAATCAACCACGCTCTGTTGCCATCAGGGGAACTGATTCACAGTAGCTGAGGGTCTAGCCCCCACATCAGTATGTTAAAGGAATAAGACTCATTATTCCCTATGGAAGAGTTTGTTCCAATACATGTTGGAGATGAATAGCAGCCTTGGCAGAATAAGAAATGTTGGTGGAGTGGAGTAAAGGGCAACCATGTCTAGGTAATGAACAAAGGCCAGCGGCAACATACAAATGCCCCAAAAGAGGAGCTTTCCATGGGGCAGGAAACATCCTGGTTTAACGTATTACTTTCAGTTCTAAAGGATCCTGCTCAATTACTTATGATGTGACCAAGTCTAACTTCATAGCCTAAATTCATCCCTGCCCATGGAGAACAGCGCTGCCCTGAAGATGAGGAGGAGCTGGGGATGTGCCAATTCAGCATATTCCCTTTGCAGTATTGGCTGGCAGGACTCTGACAAAATTCTAAATCTGCCATTTCCCCCAGCAAAGCTCTGATGGAGGGTGAAAGAATAAATACCACCCCTTGTGCTTCCCCAAAAGGTGAATGCCCCTGTGGTGCAGGGAGGTAAAATGTGAACTTCCCTAATAGTAACTGCTGTGACTAGCAGGGCAGCAGCAGCAGCATCTAGGGCCCATGATCTCTGCAACGTGTGGTGGAACATGTTAATAATATAACACTAAGCAGGCCTCAGGTGATGGAGAGCTAAGGAGCTTTTGTTCAGATTCACTAAGCAATCCCATTCTCTGAAAGAAGGGAATACTTGTTAAAGACAAACAGCATTTTAGCAGTTACACAGAACCAGATGTTTAACTATGCACCCTGCTTGTCCAGTTGGGAAGGTATTCTACTTGATGGCACATTGACAGGTCTATAAGTATTTCTCATTTCCTTTGGGAGTAGTGAAGAAGGATCAACCTGCTAGAATAAGGTAGCTTTATCCCAGGCAACTTTATTGCAGGCCAGGAAAGGCAGCATAGGATCTCGGTCATCAACAAAGTTAAAAACTTCCTTTCTTATTGATTTATCTAATTATACTTCACTTATCCATGTAGTATCTGAACATCTCACATGCACCTTCTGGGCTCCTCTGTAAATATATATAGATCTGTTTTACAACCTCTTACCAAATTATTCCAGAGAGCTATGGCCATCTCAGCATAGCCTCTCTCAGTGAAATGAAAGCAATCCACAGAAAAGAAACTCAGGTCTGGTTTCCCATCCTGCAATGCAAAACAATGTAATAATTCACTCCAGTGTCAAAGGCTTCTTTCCACCTTGCAAACTAGCCTACTATGTCAGCCTCATTCTTTTCTCCTGCTCTTGAGGCAAAACCACATCTTGATTCCATCTCCAGAGGCCATAGTACATATGATTCTTCCATTTGAAGCAATGACTATAGTGTCAACCAATCAAGAGGCAGTGGTTGTTTGTTTAACATCCATAGTTTTTAAGGCCAGAAGGGCTCATCAGGATAACTGACCCCAGAGATTCCTCAGACTTTGAGGCCCAGCATGTCATACCTAAAAGCCAAAAATTCTTGGCAAACTAATTTCATAATTCTAATCAGTGTGGTAATAATGGATTCATATTCTGATGCTACAAACCAACCAATTAGCACCTCATCACAGCCCATGGTTTCACTCTCACAAACCAAAGATCTAATGTGACCTCCTGAATAATGCAGCCTGTGGAATTTCAATAAACCCAGGAACTTGTGGTCGAACAATCTATCAAGGATTTTCTAGGGACACCAATTATTGCAATATCAACTAAATCCTGAATGTCACTCAGGTTCGAAAGATCGTGTTTATTTATTGTTATTTGTTGCTTGGCTTCAAGTTCTGAAACCTTTCAGGCAAATTGAGGCTGCTTTTTCAAGTGAATACCCAAAACTGTGGGGTTGATGCAGTTGAAGCACAAAGGTTTCCTGGGGCAAGCTTGCACTACTATTGCTAAAGTGGTAGGCAGTCTTTGGTTTCCAGGTGCCAATATCACACTTTTCAGCAGAACCCAAATTCACTTTTTAAGATGAGCTTAAGATCTGTGGGGATAGGGCAAAAGGGTAGATATTATACAAAACTGGCTGTTTTTGGCCAAGTTTCACATTGAATTCCTGCATTCCTGACTAACACTGCATGCAAGATGCAAGGGGTAAAGAATGGGAGGCGAGCTGGACTATGGCTTTTTAGGGAATCAATATATTCTGTGCTCACATATTTCCTGAAATCACTTGAAGTCTCCAGTAGATTCACAAGCAATATGCTCTTTCCTACTTTAATATTTTTATTTTTTTGCAATGTCCATATTATGCTAGAGTCCGTGCAAACATAATAAAGACATGGACCCTGCCCCATAAGCATCACAGTCCAAAATGAATCTTGATGTTGGCCTAAAACTGTTAGGAAATAAAACAAGACTCACACTTCCTAGTGGGATGATGGTATTTCGGAAAAACGGATGCACCACGACAGTAAAATCCTCACGCTGTGCATAGCGGCTGCTGCTGGCCATCAGCATGCTTTTGATCTGTGTTGGATTGCATGTTACAAAACACAAAGGCCATTTACAAGATTTATCTCCCCCATTAAACCAGGGTTATAAAATGCGAAACTTTCACCTCTCTCAACCATTAGTATAAATTCAACCTAGATAGCATAGAAGAGTATAGAAAAAGCCTTTTTGAACATGTGGAGATACTTCCATAGGAGGAGAATGTGAATAGATTCAAGGTGCATAGATAAATTATATATGAATCATATAGACATCAATGAAGTCTAAAGCTTAGGATTCTAAAAAAAGATTAGGACTAAAATGTTCAAAAGTTCCTAGTGAGTCTGAGTGCCTCAAATGACAAGTGAAAGAATTGGGTTTGTTTAGTCTGGAAAAGAGAAGACTGAGGGGGTACATGCTAACTTCTTTCATGTACCAATAAAAGGTGTTACAAGAAGGAGGGAGAAAAAATATTCTCTTTAACCTCCGATGATAGGACAAGAAGCAAGGGGCTGAAATTGCAGTAAGGAAAATTTAAGTTAGACTTTAGGAAAAACTTCCTGTCAGGGCAGTTAAGCACTGGAATAAATTGCCTAGGGAGGTTGTGGAATGTCCATCGCTAGAAATTTTCAAGAGTAGGTTAGACAAACTCCTGTCAGAGATGGTCTAAATCAGTGTTCTCATCCTTTTTTTTAATAAAGTACCCCTTTTTTAAAAAAATTATAAGTACCTCCAGTACCTACAGTTTTCGGAGACACAATTTTTTTTCTGCTATTACAACACATTTGTTTAAACAACTTAATCATATCCAGGTGGGCGATGAAATGTTTGGGTGTAAAAAGTACAAAAATAATAAAGCACTGTAAAACAAAACAAAAATTCAGTTTTCTCCAAGTTTCAATTGTGTTGATGTACCCCCCAGATCTCTCTCAAGTACCCCTAAGGGTATTCGTACCACAGGTTGAGAAACACTGGTCTAAATGACACTTGTTGGAGTTCTAGGTGGAAGATGACAGATATGACAAAAAGGGAAGACAAGGACAAGGATGCACAATTAAGGAAACAGAATCCAGGTGTTACCTGAAAATCTTTGTTAATTATTTTCATTTCTTGTAGTTCAGGAGAGCTTTCCTGGGGGGTTAAGAAACATGGGCAAACACTCCTTGAAAGAAAAACAAAACAAAACAAAATCAACATCAACCCTAGACAGTCTGTGTATTCATTAATAACATGGTTTAGTTCTAAGAAGCTCAAGATGGCTTAAGTTATTAAATGCAGAAGTTAAATCACCAGGCTAGTTTCAAGGTGGATAAAAACGCTGCGTAGAGTGAAAACCCCCACATAAATCAACTGTTTTTCAGACCATTAGATCATCTAATATGACCACCCATATATATCACAGGCCAATAAATGTCACCAAGTTATCCCTGTATTGAACCCAGTAACTTGTGTTTGACTAAAACAAATCGTTCAGAAAAGCATCCATCCTTGATTTGATGACAGCAGGTGATGGAGACTCTTCCACTTACATTGGGGATTCCCACCCCCCGTAGTTCATCACTCTCACTGTTAATTTGTGTCTAATTCCTACTCTGAGTCTGTCTGGTTTCAGCTTCTAGCCATTGGTCTTTGTTCTCCATGAGATTAAAGAACATCTCAGCACTGAGTGTCCTCCTGTCCCCAACATGAAGGTACTCAAATATATGACATACATATTTCAAGTCACCTCTTGCTCTTTTTGAGAAGCTCTTTTTGATGTAAAAACCAGTTCCTTATTTCCTTGCATGCAAAAGAGCTGAGGTTTTGCCCTAGAAGTGTTGATCTGAGCAACAGAGTAAGGAATGAAGCTGAATATGGATTCAGGCATTGGGGATGCCATTGGCTGTTGTAGAGGACTGTGACCTGGAATAGAGGCAGGTGCAAAAGGGCTTTGAAATTCCGCATTATGAAAATTACACTGTAATTTGTGGTATGATGCCCAGCCTGATGTTTGGCTAATGTTCACCAGAGTGCAAAAACTTTATAGCAGTTAGGTAGGTTGCAGTAGGCCTAGACTTTATTCACAGTGATCTTGATTTGCTGGACTAAGGACCTGGTTTCTGTCATAATAAAACTTGAATACAGAGATGGATCAGAGCCAGAGCTCCAGTTCCAAATGTTCCTGGATGTTGATGACATTCAGATCCAGATTCATCCTCTGTGGCTTCACCCCAAAGATAACTGTGTAACTGAATGAACAGAAATTCAGTAAGACTGCAATGCTGTCTTCATTTTGGTGTGCACCACTTTTGCTGAAGTCAATGGGAGAGGAAAGACATCGACATTGTAAGTATAGTATTTGCAGTATCATCCTTCCCAGACTCAACCTCCCACAGGGAGGAGGCCTTTAAGCCTTGTATGGTTGCTTTACTAATACCAGTGATATTGATTATCCTTAAACATAGGATCAAGCAGAGATAGCTATTTGATTTGCACACTTACGCCCCTGGAACAGCACACCCTGAAGTTTCCCTCTCTATTTGACGCAGTCCAGAAATCTCCATCACCTCCACCATGTTGACAAACGCTCGAGGTAGCTGCAGGGTTCAGAGAAACCAGGTGTGTTAATGCACAGAGCATGACTCAGTTACATAACAAGACAGGAAGGCTACTTGTAGGAACGAATGCATCCTGGGCTACCACAGAATGGACACCACCAGCTGTGCCAAATTTATGAGGTGAACAAATCTATCTTGGGGGCTCAGTGGAGAAAACCATTTTGCGAATAAAGAAAAGTTATTTATTAGTTCCCATAATAGAAGAACTAGAGGACACCAAATGAAGTTAATGGGTAGCAGGATTAAAACTAATAAGCAAAAGTTCTTCTTCACACAGTGCGTAGTCAACCTGTGGAACTCCTTGCCAGAGGAGGCTGTGAAGGCTAGGACTATAACAGAGTTTAAAGAGAAGCTAGATAATTTCATGGAGGTTAGGTCCATAAAAGGCTATTAGCCAGGGAATAGAACAGAGTTTAAAGAGAAGCTAGATAATTTCATGGAGGTTAGGTCCATAAAAGGCTATTAGCCAGGGGATAGAAATGGTGTCCCTGGCCTCTGTTTGTCAGAGGCTGGAGAGGGATGGGGGGAGACAAATCACTTGATCATTGTCTTCGGTCCACCCTCTCTGGGGCACCCGGTGTTGCCCACTGTCGGCAGACAGGCTACTGGGCTAGATGGACCTTTGGTCTGACCCAGTACGGCCGTTCTTATGTTCTTATCATAAACTTATAAGCTAAGATGGAGGAGTCAGCTCAGAGCAGAAATGTTCAGTATACTGACCTGAATTTCCCCCAAGCCACCCTTCCTCCCGACTCAATGCCATCAGCAAAGTAGAATTAAAGCTACAACTCTTCACCTGCCTGGGCAATGCTGGTGTGGAGGGCAAAGTGAACAGCCAGATCCTGATCGCTGTTACCTCACTGTAAATCAGGAGTCACTTTGCTGAAGTCCAAGGAATTACTCCCATCTACAAGGATTACAATATGGCCCTACATATGGTTCATTGATTTATTAGCCTTTTGGCTGGGGTATTCAAAATGTGTCTGTGTGACTTGCCAACACGACAGTCTGCTTCACTGCCAGCAATAGGCATTCCAGTCCAGACCCACTGACTCTGAAGCATTAAGCCCAGGGCAGATTCAAAAGGCAAAGTTTCATCCTTATGTTGATGATGGAGAATGTGGATAGTCTTTCAGGGTTAGCTGCAACAACATTACTCCACCCCCATGAGCGTTTGCCAAAGAGTGATGCTAATTAGTGTGTTTTCTTGGACTAAAAAAAACCCTAAGAATGGCACAGATGGGGTAGAGGATCACATCTTTCTCTTTGTAGCAGAGATTAGATGTCAAGTTCTGATGCTACTGGACACTGAAACATTATGTGCGGGCACATGTGTGCGTGAGACTATGGGATTATAGGTGCATACATGGTGTAGCATGTAGGGTATGTCTACACTACCCTCCTAGTTCGAACTAGGAGGGTAATGTAGGCATACTGCACTTGCAAATGAAGCCCGGGATTTGAATTTCCCGGGCTTCATTTGCATAAGCGGGGAGACGCCATTTTTAAAACCCCGTTGGTTCGAACCCCGTGCAGCGCAGCTACACAGGGCACAAACTAGGTAGTTCGAACTAGGCTTCCTAGTTCGAACTACC